TGTTTGAGCCCAGGAGTTCAAGACCAGCCTGGACAATATAGTGAGACCTCATCTCTACAAAAAATGTAAAAATTAGCCAGACATGATGGCACACGCCTGTGGTCCCAGCTACTTGGGAGGCTGAGGTGGGAGGATAGCTTGAGCCTGTGAGGTCAAAGCTACAGTGAACCGTGATTGCACTGCTGTCCTCCAGTATGGGCAATGGGGCAAGACCCTGTCTCAAATAAATAAATACATAAAATTTTTTAAAAAATGATTTGTACTAGTTCATTTTACACAAAAGTACTTAATTCCCCTTAATATAATTTGGTTGCAGACTTTGATACAGAATAGTTACACTTTTCATAAGACATTTTGGGAAAGAAAAAACATATGTTGGTGTTAAGTGCCTTAATTTCATTCAGCAGTTGCAGGGCTGGGCATGTGGCATTAATGTAACAGAACAACATTCAGCTTTTCCCTGTATGAATGGAAGCTAAGCCTTCCCTCAGAGTTGTATCTTCACCCCAGTCAAGTCTTGCTGGAGCCAAAGATATTACCTGACATGAGGGAGGCAGCACCTAGGCCTGCTGTCAGTTGTCTCTAAGTACTACCAGTTGTTGAAATGGTACCATTTCTAAAAGACCCTTGAAAAGAGAACTCCAGATCTGACACTGTCTTGATTGGTTTGCATTGTTAATTTAATGCAATTCGGTAAGTATTTGCTGAGTTATTTTCGTTACATCGACAGTCCAGATGAAGGAGTATACTGTGTGCTGAGGGAAATAATAGTGAATACAGATCATGATCTGTCCTTTTAAGAAAGTTTTAGTCCCAGGCCGGGCACAGTGGCTCACGCCTGTAATCCCAACACTTTGAGAGGCCGAGGCAGGCAGATCACCTGAGGTCTGGAATTTGAGACCAGCCTGACCAACATGGAGAAACCCTGTCTCTACTAAAAATATAAAATTAGTCAGGCGTGGTGGTGTATGCCTGTAATCCCAGCTACTCAGGAGGCTGAGGCAGGAGAATCACTTGAACCCGGGAGGTTGCAGTGAGCTGAAATCGCACCATTGCACTCCAGCCTGGGCAACAAGAGTGAAACTCCATCTCAAAAAAAGAAAATTATTGTCCTTTAATAGAATGAGAAAAAACACTATCTATGGAGTCAAAACATACATCAACTCTGTGATTTTAAGCAAATCACTTAATCTTTGTAATTTAATTTTCTCATCTATAAAATAAGGATATAAATCATTTAAAGTTATTATATAGATTAAAATTAAATTGTGTATATGAAAGTCCTTTGAAAACCAAGAAAATATACAGGTTGAGTATCTCTAATCTGAAAACCCCAAATCCAAAACACTCCTGGTCCCAAACATTTCAGATAAAAGCTACTCAGAGTGTGCAAATGTAAAAGATTAGTGTCATTATGATTTCTTATCAGAAAAACTAAGTAGACAAAGGACTATACAATATCAGGAAAAGCCTGTATGTGATTGTCAGAAAGTGCTGCTACAGCGTTTCAAGGTAGGGAGAATTTGAAGTGTGTTAGAAAGCCACAAACCAGTTACCAGGTAGTGGTTACCAGGTAGTAACTTGCTAAGGATTCTGAACTTTGGAAATAACCCTTGAGGAGAGTAGATAGAAAGGAGATAGAGTAACTTGAGCAAAGTTGTGGAGGTTAAAAATAAGTTTGTCTTGCTCTTGAAGCAGTAAAGAGACTGATGGAAAATAGAGTTATGTTTTGAATACTTGATAAAGGAGTGTAAGTTGTACTCTATTTTAAAGTGTATAATTCAGTGATTTCAGTATCTTCACAAAGGTGGGGCATCAGTCACCACTACCTAACTTCAGAACATTTCCATCATCCCAAAAAGAAACCCTGTATCCATCAACAGTCACTCCCATTCCTCCTTACCCCAGCCCCTGGCAACCACAAATCTATTTTCTGTTTCTCTGGATTTGCCTCTTCTGGACATTTCATATAAATGGAATCACCCAGTATGTGGCCTTTTATGTCTGCCTTCTTTCACTTCGCATAATGTTTTCAAAGTTCGTTCATATCGCAGCATGTACTAGAACTTCATTATTTTAGGAGTAGATAATATTCCATTATATGCTGTATTTTGTTTATCATTTATCATCTCATGGACATTTTTGGACGTTATGAATAATACTGCTGTGAGCATTTGTGTACACATTCTTATGTGAACATAGTCTCCATTTCTCTTCGGTATGTACCTGGGAGTGAAATTCCTGGGTCATATGGTAATCTATATTTAACTTTCTGAGGAACTGCGAAACTCTTTCCAAAGTTCTTACACCATTTTACATTTGTGCCACCAGAAATGAATGAGGGTTCCAATTTCTCTGCATCCTTGCCAACACTTGTTCTTGTCTGTCTTTTTATTGTAGCCATCCTGGTGAGTGTGAAATGACTTGGATTTGCATTTCACTAGTGGCTAATGATGTTGGGCATCTTTTCATGTGCATATTTGCCACTCATACATCCTCTTTGGAGAAGCATCAGATCTTTGCCTATTTTTAAATGAAGTCATTAGTCTTTTTTTTTTTTTTTTTTTTTGAGATAGAGTCTTGCTCTGTTGCCCAGGCTGGAGTACAGTGGCGGGATCTTGGCTCAGTGCATCCTCCGCCTCCTGGGTTCAAGCAATTCTCCTGTCTTAGCCTCCTGAGTAGCTGGGATTACAGGCTCCCACCACCACACTTGGCTGGGTTTTTGTATTTCTAGTAGAAATAGGGTTTCACCATGTTGGCCAGGCTGGTCTTGAACTCATGACCTCAGGTGATCCACCCGCCTTGGCGTCCCAAAGTGCTGGGATTACAGGTGTGAGCCACCGCGCCCGGCCGTCATTAGTCTTTTTACTGATGAGTGGAAGAGTTCTTTATTCTGGATACAAGCTGTCCTTATCAGATAAATGATTTGCAAATATTTTCTCCTGTTGTGTGGGTTGTCTTTTCACTTACCTGATCTTTGTCATTTATTGAATTAAATCCATTCTTTTGGTCATTATTTTTAAAACCCTATCTGTGCACTCCTTTTTAAAATTCCCTATGTGTGCTGTCTTATTTTCATTCACAACAGTAATTTAGTTTTTTGCTAAGCTAGTCTCTTTTCTGTTAGCTTTCATTCCAGGTCCTATCCGTTTATTTCTGTTCTCCTGCCCATAATCTACCTTGCTCTCTCTCTGCCTTTCCAAATTTCTAGCCTTTCCCTCTCTTAAGACCATCCCCTGTTGTTTCACTTCATACTGATATTCCTCTCTGTACTTTATTCATTTCATACATACATGGTGGTTGTCCCACTAACATGACTTATGGCATTTAATTATATGATGACTTTCATTGTTGCTTGATAACATAAACGTGTGAATCTCCATACATGAATCTCCCGGGCTCCTGCTTAGAGGTTAGGAACGTTGTCTTCGTCCTTCTTTTTCATCTCTCAGTGCCTATGTGATAACTTCCAGAGCACACATGAGCTGGAACCCACACTTGATAAATGGCTGTATCTATTTTCTCATTTTAGCTGAAATGTTGTATTTGAAAGAACCATTTTTCTCATTTTAATAGAAATTAAAAAAAAACAGACGACGTGGATTTTGTCCTGTAGGACCACATGCAGCAAATTGTCTTTAATTCTCAAAGCCACAGTCTCTGCTAGGAGTCGGGGCCATAATTACAATGGATTAGCTATTTTGGATTCCCTATCTAAATGGCTTTTACTGTTTGCTTTAAAATACCGTGTAAAGAAATAATTAAATCCAGAATATTGAGAGAGCAAAATTAGTGGGCTCCAGAAATTGCAAGCAGAGGGGAGGATATCTTCAAAAGTGTTTTGTCCAGTGTTTTTATGAAGAAGTTCAGACTGATATTTTTGTTGTTTTTTACAGCCAAAACAAAATTATTTTCAAGAAAACATTGAGTTGTGTTAGTTTTTATAGTATCATTTCTCAGTAAGGAAATATGATTCATCTATTGAGTCCTAAAAATATCGCAAATTTTAGATTATTAATTCAAAAGACTCTAGATGGAAGATTGATATTCATATCTCATAGCAAAAAGAAAAAAATAGTAATCTGTGAAATCAGATTTTCCATCTCTAATTATAAAACTACCTTTATATTTTAATAACCCTTAACTAATGTTTATGGTAATACCTGTGGAGTTTCTTAACTTCATATTGCAGGTGCTGTTCATCTGAATTGTGTGTGTGTGTTCATCTGTTAAATACTTACTAAGCTCCTGCTGTATGCCAGGAATACACAAATAAATAAATGTAAGACTGTCTCTGCCCTAACAGAACTCCTAGCTTCATGGAGGAGACAAATGAGTCAGGAGAGAAATCTTAGCTGCATTCTTTTTTATATATCATAAAATAAAATTGTATTTTAGATTATGCTATTGGTTACAAATATATTACTTTTATAAATTAGGATATACTTCAGACAGCATTTTGATACTGTCTTAAAATGCAAATTTTAAGTACAGTTTGTTGGTAATAATTTTTTTATTTATTATTTTTTTGAGACGGAGTTTTGCTCTGTCGCCCTGGCTGGAGTGCAGCGGCATGATCTCGGCTCATAGCAACCTCTACCTCCCAGGTTCAAGTGATTCTTCTGCCTCAGCCTCCCAAGTAGCTGGGATTACAGGTGCCCACCACAACGCCAAGCCAATTTCTATATTTTTAGGAGAGATGGGGTTTCACCACATTGGCCAGGCTGGTTTCAAACCCCTGACCTCAAGTGATCTCCCTGCCTTGGCCTCCCAAAGTGCTGGGATTATAGGTGTGAGCCATCATGCCTGACCTGTTACCAATAATTTTAAATGCAAATTAACATTGTCTATATTTATAATTGGGTATTTCTCACATATGCTCACATCACCTTGAAGAAAATTAAAGTCATGGTTTTTTTTACAAACAGTTGTGCAGTCTGTGTGTTCACAGTGCGTTTAGAATTGACATCTACCTCTCTTTTATCTTCCTCTTTTCAAAGGGTTATTGTATTATGCAGGACATGGTTATGAAAATTTTGGGAACAGCTTCATGGTCCCTGTTGATGCTCCAAATCCATATAGGTCTGAAAATTGTCTGTGTGTACAAAATATACTGAAATTGATGCAAGAAAAAGAAACTGGACTTAATGTATTCTTATTGGATATGTGTAGGAAAAGGTAAATTTTCTAATCTTTATTAAACAATTGTTGGAGTTAAATATCAACCTTGACAAACTAGAGAAACCTGTGAAATGCTAACAGCCATTTGCGTGTGTGAATTTTAGTTTATACATCGAAACTGGAAGAACAAAACTGGAGAAAAATATATTTATTCCATGTATATCTAATTATTTTAACTCTTCATATTTGCTATAGAACACAAACAAAGAACTAAAGGGCATGGGCATTTACTCATACTACAGGGGATTCAACTCTCCAGAATGCCTTTAGATGACTTTAATAATCATTGTAGTTATTCCCTCAGGAATTAACAAAACCAGCACCCATGGAGTTGGGATTTCTGGTCACTAGTCAGTCCTGGTCTTCCAGATACAGAATGAGTAGCCGAAGCAGATGTTTGGAGGTTTGGATCCCATTTATCTGCCATTGCCTTTCTAAGAAATAGAACCAGTGCCTCTAGATTTACTATTTTTTGCTTGCTCAGCATTTGTGAATCAAAATCCAATGCCAGAGTTCAAATGCAACTCCGGTTTTAAAGCTAACAAGGAGTTAGTGGGTTATTTTGGGTAGATATGTAGCTACCTGGATGAAAAATTTTGAATCTATAATTTTAAATTATGTATTCTAAAATACTGTTGTATTATCTCATTATTTATACTCTTTTAAGGATGATCTTTAACTTTTCATATTTCTGTCTGCTCTTCTCTGCCTCCGTTGAATAGAAATGACTACGATGATACCATTCCAATCTTGGATGCACTAAAAGTCACCGCCAATATTGTGTTTGGATATGCCACGTAAGAAAATTTTATGTTTACGTTGAAGTTTCCTTTATTCTTTGATATCTTTTTGTTTGCTTTTGCTTTTTAGGAGCAGGGGTCTTAACTTTGTCGCCCAGGCTGGAGTGCAGAGGCGCCATCGTAGCTCACTGCTCCTGGGCTCAAGCAATCCTCCTGCCTCAGCCTTCTGAGTCGCTGGGATTACAGGCATGTGCCACTGTGCCTGGCTCCTGAGGTCTTTTTGATTCTAGATTAGAGGCCTAGAAAATACCTATAGACATGTAGGCATAAATTTACCTCCTTGATGTTCTTGGTAGAAAATTTTAAATGGTCAACTTTAGCATTCCATATGATGGTATCTTATTATTAAGCCCAAATTGGGCATGTAGTTCCTGCTTAAAGATTAACTCTTTAATTATTGATGTCATGTGAGAGGCAGAAGAGAAAATGAGGCTCATCAGTGTACACAGAAGTCCCATGTGGCAAGTATTTGTTTTTCTAACATTTTCTTTTTAAAAAACTATTTTTATTGGATATTGACAAGTTATAATTTTATGTATTTATGGGATACAAAGATATGCTATGATGTACGTATTCAATGTGGAATGATTGAATCAAGTTAATTCACATATCACCTCAAATACTTTTTTCCTCCTAACTGAAACATTGTACCCTGTGACTAACAGTCCCTGTGCCGTGCCCACCTTCCAGCCTCTGGTAATCACCATTCTGCTGGCTGCTTCTCTGAGTTCATTTTTATTAGCATCCACATATAAGTGAGAACATACAGTATTTGCCTTTCTGTGCCTGGTTTAACTTCTTTTTCTATTTTTAAGGTGTCAAGGAGCAGAAGCTTTTGAAATCCAGCATTCTGGATTGGCAAATGGAATCTTTATGAAATTTTTAAAAGATAGATTATTAGAAGATAAGAAAATCACTGTGTTACTGGATGAAGTTGCAGAAGGTAAAAAATAAAGAGAAACTACTCAGAAAAAAGAGCAGGGGGGACACACCTATTCAGGGTTCCCTCTCTGGTGATTGTTTTATTCTTATTATGGGGGTTTGGAATTAGTATCTACTTTATAAAACAATTTTTATATTAATATAACATTCAGCAACACTTCTGCTATTTAATGTCATCTTTCCTTCCCTTTTGAGGTAGCTCTCCACCATCTGTGCAGCATTACTTAGACTACAAGGCTAAGCCTAGGCACAGTCATTAAATAAATCAAGTTGAATCCTCAGATCTCTGCTTTGCTTCTGTGCCCAGTGCCTTGGTGCTGGCAAATCTCCCTATTTGGGGGTGGGTGGGGGGCGTGGAGGGGTGGTGGGGAGTTGTCCAGTGAGCAGTCTCTCCCAGGATGGGAGTGAGAAAACTTTACAGAAATGTTTAGACACTGCTGGAAAAAGCTGAGTTCATTTTTTTTCCTTAATGAACTTAGTAGTTTTAAAATCCTGATTTAAGGATGTGATCCTAGGGGTTCTAATGCCACATCTTCCATTTCTGTCTGCCTGCTGGTATAATGTTATGCATATGTCAGATGCTGAATAAGTACCTATTATTTTGGTAGATTGCACTGTGGTTTTTGAAAAAACATTTTATAAGCCATAGCAAAAAGAAGGTAACTTGGTCAGGCATGGTGGCTCAAACCTGTAATCCCAGCACTTAGGAAGCTGAGGCAGGAGGATCACTTAAGGCCAGGAGTTCAAGACCAGCCTGAGCAACATAGCGAGACCCTGTCTTCAAAATAAAAAATACAAATAAAAAGGAAGAAAGTAATTCTTTTACAAACTAGCACCACTAGAAAATGGTGTTTCATGGATGTTCCAGTGATGGCAGTTTGGGTATAAGGTGTTTGGCCAACTGTCAGCCATATTTATTTTCATGTTTTTATCTGTGTAGCCATGTTTGTTAGATCACTTGACTTAGCCACTTTTCCATTTAACATGACCAGCCAGGGCTTTGGACTTCCTGCCACCCTCCCGCTTCAACCAGAGAAATTCCACTTTTATTTGTTTTCTACATTAGGCTTCTTCTGAAGCTCACATTTGAAGGAAAGTCTCTGCTTTTTAAAAAAAAAAAAAAAAAAAAAAAAACGAAAAGAAAACCTTTGGATTACATCAGTTATATTCAAACTGAGATCCAGTAAGGTGATCCAGAAACTCTACAGTGTTTTATTTCAATTTCGTTTTTAAGTACATTTTAACTGTTTTAAAACTTAATAAAAGGCACCATGCTCACCCATATATGGTATGTACCAAATTGTCATAGCAATGAATAGCATCCCAGTATGTGCTGTGAGGATATTTGAACTTTTCATAAACATCTTAGAAAGTTTTGCTTTTCACTGGTCTTTTTCAGTCCTACCATGTCTGCTTACCTAGAAGTGCCCAGGCAGGAAGACCCTGCAGTGTACGTGGAGCACACTCAGCTCAGTGCCATGTACATTGTGCCCTTCATGGGCAACAGCCCACTCATTGTACAAAATAAGTAAAGGTCTAATAGTATCATGATAAATAATACAGTTAAATCTAGCCCTTATTTTGAGTTTTGGGTGCTTTGTGTCTGACCCCTGTCTTAGTAGTGAAAAGCAAAAGCAGTTGTATGAAATTTTTCACAAATCATCCAATTTTGAAACAGAACTTTGCTGCTTCTCCCTTTGGATCTTCCGGATTACTTAATTAAAAATTATTCCATGGCTGGGCATGGTGGCTCGCACCTGTAATCCTCGCACTTTGGGAGGCTGAGGTAGGAGGATTGCTTGAGCCCAGGAATTCAAGACCAACCTGGGCAACACAGCAAGATTCCATCTCAATTAAAAAATATATATATATTCGGGGCCAGGTACAGTGGCTCATGCCTGTAATCCCAGCATTTGGGGAGGCTGAGGCAGGAGAATCACTTGAGCACAGAAGTTTGAGACCAACCTAGGCAACATTGTCAGACCCCCATCTCTATAAAAATTTTTAAAATGAGCCAGGCATTATGGTGTGCACCTCTATTGCCAGCTACTCGCGAGGCTTAGGTGGGAGGACGGCTTGAGCCTGGGAGTTTGAGACTGTAGTAAGTGTGATCACACCACCGCTCTCCAGCGTATGTGACAGAGCGAGCCCTGTCTCAAAAAAAAAAAAATTCCAGAGGGGGGAAAGTATTCAGAGATTATAAGCCAAGCAGTTGAAGGGGAAAATAAACATGTTACCAATTTCTTTTTTCAGTTTTTGGTTTCTTTGTGTGAGACAGTCTCTGTTGCGCAGGCTAGAGTGCGGTGGCATGATCTTGGCTCACTGCAACCTCCACCTTCCACGTTCAAGTGATTCTCTCGCCGCAGCCTCCCGAGTAGCTAAGACTACAGGCACGCACCACCATGTCCGGCTAATTTTTGTATTTTTGGTAGAGATAGGGTTTCACTGTGTTGGCCAGGCCCGTCTTGAACTGGCCTCAAGTGAGCCACCGGCCTCTGCCTCCCAAAGTGCTGGGATTAAGGTGTGAGCCACCGTGCCCGGCCCACCTTACGAATTTGAACTGTGTGCAAGGAAAACATAATATGAGGTAAATTGGTTGTTATAAAGCTACAGGCATCAGTCTGTAACTCGACTTTTATTTTTGTACTATTCAGGACAGCATTATTATCAGAAGTATTGAACATACTACTGAGGGTTTTTATTGTGAGTAGATGTTCGATATGAATATAGGACCTTGACAGTAACCTACATCTAATTATAGGACCTCTCTTTTCCCTTCCCCCGCTCCATGATAACTACCATTCTAAACTTATTCCTTTTTCTTTTTACATAGTTTTATTGAGTTTATATATACCCAAAAAAGTATGCATAGTTTTGTTTTTAACTTAATAAAAAGATATGCTCTGTGTAGTCTTTTGGGACTAGAATTTTTTTATTTAATATTATATTGCTAAGATTGAGCCATATTGTTGCACGACTGTAGTTTTTCATTTTAACTGCTATGTAATATTCTATTATGCAAACATACTACAGTTTTTTTCAACTACTCTCCTGTGTTGGTGAGCATTTGAGTTAGTTGTGGTTAACAGTCTTGTATATGTCTCCTGGAATATATATGCATGAATTTCTTTGCAGTGTGATTCTAGGGCTTGGAATTGCTGTGTCGTAGGGTGTGACAGTATTCCGTTTTACGAGAGAATGCCAGACAGTTTTGTAAAGTGGTTGCCAAGTCTACACTTACCCTGCTCCCCGCAGCCAGCAAGGGATAATGTGAATCTGTACTCTCTCCATCACTTGATAGTCAGGCTTTTTTATTTTTGCCAATCAGATGTTAAATAGTATCTCATGTGGTCTTGATTTGATTTTCCCTAACCATTAGTGATATTGAACATTGTTCATATTTTTAATAGCTATGTGTGTATCTTGTGTGAAACATCTGTTCATGTCATTTGTCCATTTTTCTACTGTGTGTGTGGGGTTTTTTATTTTTCGGTTTATTGATTTAGAGAAATGTTGTCTGTGTTCTTGATATAATACTAGCAAGGATCGCTAAGACACTATTGAATAGAATAGGTAGTTGTGGGCATCCTTGTCTCGTTTCTGACTTTAAAGGGAATATTGCTAATGTTTTCACATTTAGAATAATATTGTAAGTTTTTCATTAACACTCCTCATCAGGTTAAGGAAGTTCTCTTTACATTGTTTTTTTGAAAATTTTTATTATGAATAAATGTTGAACAAGATTAAATGGTTTTTCTGCAGCTATGAAGAAGATAATAGGATGTTTCTTTTCTTTCAATTTCTTAATATGGTGAGTTAAATTTATAGTCTAACATTAAACCAACTTGAGGTAAATCATTTTCATTGGGATGTATTATATTTTTAATATACTACTAGATTTAATTTGCTATCATTTTGTTTAGAATTTTCATATCTAGATTCATATGGGAAATGGGCCTGTAATTTTACTTTCTTATAGTATTTGGTTTAATTTTATGAGAAAATAAAATTAGTATTTAGTGGTATCAGTGTTATGCTGATAGAATGTAGCGTAGGCCTTGTAGAATTAGATGGAGGTTGTGACGGCTGATTTTACGTCAACTTTCGCCAGGCCTCAGTGCCAAGATATTTAGTCCAGCATTATTCAGGATGTCTCTAGGTGATGGATCGAGCATTATTCTGGATGAGATTAAAGTTTAAATTGATGGACTTTCAGTAAAGCAGATTGCTCTCCATGGTGTGAATGGGCCTCATCCAGTTAGCCGAAGGCCTTAATGGAGCAAAAACTGACCTCCCACAAGCAGTGAGTTTGCCAGCAGCCTGCCTTTGGGGCTCAAACTACAGCTCTCCTCTGCATCCCCAGCCTGCCTGCCTGCCTGCAGATTTCAGACTTGCACTGCCACAATTCATAAACCAATACCTTAAGTCAATCCCTTCTTCTCACTCTATCTCTGGGTACACACACACACACACACGTGTACGCGTACGCATGTGCACATCTTGTTTGTACTGCTTCTCTGGAGAACTCTGATACAGAAGAAGTACCCCCTGTTGTTTACTGGGGAATTCTGTATAAATTGTGATCTATTTATGGTAGAACTTGCCTATAAACCAACCTGAGATTGGTGTTTTTTTGGTAGAAATACTACTGCTTCAATATCTTGAATATTTATTGTACCATGTAGGCTTTTCATTTCTTGAGTCCATTTTGATAAGTAATATTGTAATATTTTTGTAGGAATTTAGGCAGTTTTCAAATTTGTTGGCATTTAGTTGCTCATGTTCATATTTCTTTTTTTTTTTTCTGAGGCAGAGTCTTGCTCTGTCTCCCAGGCTGGAGTGCAGTGGTGCGATCTCGGCTCACCGCAACCTCCACCTCCCGGGTTCACGCCATTCTCCTGCCTCGGCCTCCACAGTAGCTGGGACTACAGGTGCCCGCCACCATGCCGGCTTTTTGTATTTTTAGTAGAGACGGGGTTTCACCATGTTAGCCAGGGTGGTCTTGATCTCCCGACCTCATGATCTGCCCACCTCGGCCTCCAAAGTGCTGGGATTACAGGCATGAGCCACGGTGCCCGGCCTAGTTGCTCATATTTCTAATAGTATTCTTTAATCTCTGCTTTATCTGTAATTATGTATCCATTTTCATCAGTATTACTTACTTGTACCTACTTTCCTCTCTTCTTTATTGCCAGCTTTTGCCAGTTGTGCTATTTCGTTTTGAAGAACCAATCTTTGGCTCCATTGATTTCTTCTACTTTTTCATTGTTTTCTACATCACTAACTTCTGCTGTTTATTTATGTCTTGCCTTGCATTTGATTTATTCTTTCTTTTTCTAACATCATCATAGTTCATTCACTTTTAGCCTGTTTTTTCCAATTTAAGTTTCTAAGGCTTTACATTTGTCTTAAAACATCACTTTTCGTCACATTCTACAAGTTTAGGGACTTTTTTAGTTTTTTTTTTCTTTGACCTTTAAGTTATATAATATTATCTTTAATTTTCAAATATGGCAGGAATTTTCACTTTTTATTTCTACCTTAATTGCTTTGTGATCGAATATAGTCTGTCTAGTTGCTATGCTTTGAAATTTGTGGAGGTTTTCATTATGGCCAAGTAAAAGATGAAATTTTGTAAATTTTGCATGTGTACTTGAGAAAAAATGGATATTTTTATAGTAACTGGTTGCAGAACTCTATGTGTGCCCATTAGGTTTGGCCTATTAATTTTTATTGTTTTTTTTCAGTTCTATATTTCTGCTGATAGTCTCTTTGATCAATAATTGAGATGTTGAAATCTCTCAGGTTACCAATTTTCTTGTAATTCTAGCACTTTTTCATAGTGACTATTTTTGTTTTAAATGTTTATATTTTCTTATTGAATTGAACCTTTATCATTATGTAGTGATGCCTCCATTTCAAATGCTTTTTTGTCTTTCTGGTATCATATTAATAGAGCCACACTAGCTTCCTTTTTGTTGACCTAATATGCTATTTTTTACACTTTTACTTTCCTACTTTTAACCCCTAGGCTAGCCTGCTTCTCTACACTTTTACTTTCAAACATTTCATGTCATTCTGCTTTGCTGTAGCTTTTGGAGGCACCGTATAACAGATTGTTTAAAATCCAATCTAGGCCGGGCGCGGTGGTTCAAGCCTGTAATCCCAGCACTTTGGGAGGCCGAGACAGGGCGGATCACGAGGTCAGGGGATCGAGACCATCCTGGCTAACACGGTGAAACCCCGTCTCTACTATAAAAAAAAAACATACAAAAAACTAGCCGGGCGAAGTGGTGGGCGCCTGTAGTCCCAGCTACTCGGGAGGCTGAGGCAGGAGAATGGCGGAAACCCGGGAGGCGGAGCTTGCAGTGAGCCGGGATCGCGCTACTGCACTCCAGCCTGGGCCACAGAGCGAGACTCTGTCTCAAAAAAAAAAAAAAATTAAATCCAATCTAATAATCTTGGTCTTTTAATGAGAAAATTTCGTTAATTTACATTTGTTATTTTTTGTACTTGTTTTAACCATCTAATTTTTTGATTTGGCTCATTTTCTCCTTTTTTAAAAAAATTGTATATCTTTTCTTCTCTAACAAATAATAATTTTAATGTACTCCTACAATACTAGGTGTCTCCTTTTAACCCCCAACATGATGATTTAACTTAGACTTAGTTCTGGATCACATATATTTTTGTCTATTTTTTTTTAAAAAAAGAACCTTTACTATTGTTAATTTATAATGTAGTAGACAGAAGTATGATAAACTATAACTTAAAGAATATACTTCTAAATTTAAATTGATGTGTATCCAGATACATTAGTCTGTATCTAAAACATGTTGAATGAAAATGGCACATTACAAAGACATACATATAACATTTTTGTTGAATTCGAAAACCTAAAACATTGGCATATACCGTTTATGAATACCTACAAATGAGTAAAAATTAAAACATGATTGCTGTGTCTGGCACATAATAGGTGCTCTGGAAATACTTGTTGAGTGAATAAATGATGCTGAGAATATAACCTGATAATGTAGGATAGTTCTTATCCTAGATATTTAAAACATAAGAATTGGTGGTCTGAAAAATAATATTTATTTTCATATCTTTTAGATATGGGTAAGTGTCACCTTACCAAAGGCAAACAGGCTCTAGAGATTCGAAGTAGTTTATCTGAGAAGAGAGCACTTACTGATCCAATACAGGGAACAGAGTATTCTGCAGAATCTCTTGTGCGGAATCTACAGTGGGCCAAGGCTCATGGTATGGTAAAGCCCTTTTTTTAGATCTATAATATACTTATGTTAAATCATAAAGTTTCTTCTGAATAAATAACTTGCCTGCCAATTTTACAGTGAAAATATTTTGGCCTTCTAGGCAAATCTCAAACCAAACCAATATTTCAATTATGGATATTACACTGGTGTATTTGATGTTAGAGATATCAAATTATTTAGCCCATTATTGTCACTATTGGTAAAATTAAAATGACCATTTAAAAAATTTTCTATTTTTACGATAGGTTAATTTTCCATTCATCTAATACACAATCCTTAGAGTCTCCTATATTGTGACCTGTTAAAGTGTGCAGCTGTCGAAAATCATGGATTGGGTTCTGATCCAGTCTCTACCACTGTATGAACATGTTATCTATAACATGTAAATAAGAAATAGTACCTGCTTCAGGCCAGTTGTGGTGGCTCACACCTGTAATCCTAGCACTTCGGGAGGCCGAGGCAGGTGGATCACCTGAGGTCAGGAGTTAGAGACCAGCTGGGGCAACATGGGAAAACCTCATCTCTACTGAAAATACAGAAAGTTAGCAGAGTGTGGTGGCACATGCCTATAATCCCAACTACTAGGGTGGCTGAGGCGAGAGAATCTCTTGAACCTGAGAGTTGGAGGTCCCACTGCACTCCAGTCTGGGCGACAGAGCGAGACTCTGTCTGGAAAAGAAAAAGAAAACAGTACCTGCCTCATAGGTTATTGGGATTGAATGGGTGTGCAGGTAGAAATGAGCAGGTACAGAGCACTCAGCAAGTCCTCTGTACTTGTGATTATTCATATATAACTGAGCATCCTCTCTGGACACTTGATCAGTAAGTTGAGTGATCAGCAGAGAAGACGAGGTGAAAATCAATCTGTACCTTAATTACCTTTTGCTAATTATGTATGGTTTAATGAAAAAAGTTTACCGATTGAAATAATTTTGGATTTTCTGAGTCCAAGTATCTATTCTGTGAGTCTCTTGCAGATAATTGAAAAATAATTGTATTTATTGAACTTCTGTAAAATATCTTTATTTTCATACATAAGTTTTGTTCTTGGCCAGGTACGGTGGCTCACACCTGTAATCCCAGCACTTGGGGAGGCCGAGATGGGTGAATCACCTGGGGTCAGGAGTTCAAGACCAGCCTGGCCAACATGGTGAAACTCCATCTCTACTAAAAATACAAAAAATTAGCTGGTCATGGTGGCAGGCGCCTGTAATCCCAGCTACTTTGGAGGCTGAGCCAGGAGAATCACTTGAACCCGGGAGTCGGAGGTTGCAGTGAGCCGAGGTCACGCCATTGTACTCCAGCCTGGGCAACAAGAGCAAAACTCAGTCTCAAAAAAAATGTGTTCTCTAATGTGCATTTTTAGTAAATTAACATACTAAAGCACATTAAAATGTAAAATGCTATAAATATCTCACCATTCCAGATAACTGGATAAGTAATTGAAATTGAGTGTCTTTTCTCTAAAAAAGATCTAAACAAACAACAAAATTACAGTGGTAAAGGTCAACAATAAATGAAACAATAAAACAAAACTAAAAGGTCGTATAGAAAGTATTTGTAACAAATTTAATAAGTAGTTTTTTAATAATAAAGAGCTCATACAAAAAGGTAAGAGAAAAAAAATTTAGATCCTCAGTAAACAAGCAAATGATGCAAATTCAATAATCCACACTGCTGGAAGTATAGAGAAAAATTTTTTAAATGGCTAATTTAAGTAATTAAAGAATAGTTAAAACTATGATGGTATCTTTCTACTTTTTAATACCATCAAGTAGACGAATGTTTTAAAAATACTCTGTTTTGGACATGTTATGCTGAAACTTTATATTCCATGTCAACTGAAAATAATTTGTCCCATATGTAAAGGAACAATCACATAGCTATATCTGACAATCTTAAAGCATTATGAACTATGATAGAAAAGCAATAAAACCCAGAAGTATTATATTCAAGAGTTAACAGAATGGTTAAAGGTAACAAACTATAGTGTGGCCATTCAGTGACACTGTGCTTTATTAAAAATTCTGGTCATATAAATTGAGGCAACAGTGAAAATTTATCTACAGTTGTATGCATATTTTTTATTGCCACAATAAAAATTATATATACAGTTGGATAAGAACTATAAGCAAATGGTAAATGAAAGATTTTGTTTGGCCAGCAGAATATTGAGCTTTATTTTTTAAATTGTATGTGTTTAAACAATGTAAATCATGTTTTTAAGCAAAAGAAATACTATATTCTCCTCCATAAATATTTGCCTTTTATCAGGAAACCTACCAAAGTTATTCTTACTGTTCTTTTTCAGAACTTCCAGAAAGTATGTGTCTTAAGTTTGACTGTGGTGTTCAGATTCAATTAGGATTTGCAGCTGAGTTTTCCAATGTCATGATAATCTATACAAGTATAGTTTACAAACCACCCGAGATAATAATGTGTGATGCCTACGTTACCGATTTTCCACTTGTGAGTTTCTCTTTTATTTAAAATAGTGATATATTCTCACTTATTAAAGACTAAATTTTTTAACTTAAAGTTGATGGTAAATATAAAGGAAATATATATGTGTATATATTTATAGTTTAGTAACACTGGTCATAATATTTACTAATTGCCAAAATACCTTAAGTTTATGAGATTTAGAAATGTCTAAAGTTCACTCAGGAAGGATGCCTTTGATTTCTTGTATCCTAAACAGGAGAGCCAATGTGAAGGAATAAAATGTGCTATAAATATGTCAAGAATAATTTCCTTTTAAACAATTATAACTTATATTAGAAACAGTAGTTTTTAAGTCTTGTTAAGGTATGGTCATATCCTGGAATAATAGAAATCTAGTTCTGCTCTTTTCAAACGTTTAGGTATGATAGTTATTTTATGTTGGTCTGAAGAAGCCAGTAAATAGTACCCCTCTTTCCTACATGAGTGTGACAAACTGAGAAGCAAGCAAGGAGTAAGACAAGCAGAAACCCAAAATACCACTTTTATTACTGATAGAGGCTTTGTGGAGGATATTGCTTCATGTCAGAGTAAACGGTCTAGCACCAAACCCCAGAATTCAGTGGCCACCCCACACCTCCAGTTTCAGCACTGTGGAGCCCCGATAGGCTTCCTGGGTGCTGAGCAAGCCAGGGGCCTGTGGGCTTCTCACTGGAGGAGCAGAACCCTCTTACTCTTGGCCATTGGGTTGACTCTAAAAGAAGAAAAAGGAAAAGGCTGTTTATTTATCCTTCTTAAATATTCTAATCATATAAATTTCCCTGTACCTTCCCAAAAGTGATGATTAAGAGAAGAGAATCCAGGAGTCAAACACTAATGGGGCTCTCTCTGCTTAAGAGGAAACTTGAGTAGCTCAAGAAGCATTTCTAGGAATCATTTGAAAGGAAACTCTGTTTCAGAGCTCACTTTACTTTTTAAATGGCTTAATACAGAATTGAGAATTCCTATTATAACCAGAGATTGTTGTTTTCATTGTTTAGCCCTGGATAATTTTGGGATTATCAAAATTTGCAAAAGGCAAAAATTCACGAGAGAACAATATCAGTTAAGACCTCTTATGTACTAGATTATATTGTGGCTTTCATTGATTTCATTATTAACAGTCACTTTTTTTTTTTTTTTTTTTTTTTTACAGGACCTAGATATTGATCCAAAAGATGCAAATAAAGGCACACCTGAAGAAACTGGCAGCTACTTGGTATCAAAGGATCTTCCCAAGCATTGCCTGTATACCAGACTCAGTTCACTGCAAAAATTAAAGGTTACTCCCTTTTCTGTTTATAGCTACTAATGGAAAACTTTATGAAACTAGAAATTTACTTTGGCATAGACCATAGATATGCTGCCTTATTATTAAACTAGAGATAACCAGTCGACAGAAGGTCCTATCAGTGACCCTTCTTATATTCTGTTTCCGCTGGTGGCCACAGGACTTTGTGTGCTTACCTTCCATAATGCAGAAAAATTAGTAACATAGAGCATATTCTTTTTTCTTTTTGTAGAGACAGAGTCTTAACTCTGTCGCCCAGGCTGCAGTGCAGTGGTATGAACATAGCTTACTATAACCTCAAACTCCTGAGTGCAAATGATCCTGCCACCTCAGCTTCCCAAGTAGCTGAGTCTGCTGGCACATGCCACCGCACCCAGCTAATTTTTTAAAACATTTTGTAGAGAAGGGAGCTCACTATATTGCCCAGGCCAATCTCGAACTACTGGCCTCAAGAATCCTCCCTTCTTGGCCTCCCAAAGCACTCAGATTACAGGTATGAGCTACCACTCCCAGCTCCATATTCTACTTTTAAATATGTTCAGATTTTCAAGTAATCGTTTCCTAGTTCTGTAACTAAACATATAGCAAATTAGAATTGGAATTTCTTTTCCATTTTTTATTTCTAGTTGACTTACAAATGAGAAGCTAGTTCTGCATGTTGAGTGTTCTAATGAAAGCTTTCTTTGCAAAAATTGAGATTTTAATTTGTTCACAAGTACATGCCCATAGAATGTATCAGCTAAAACTCAGGGAATGGAATGGGCACAATTGAAATTACACATGTAAACCTGTTGTCATCCCGTTCGGAGCTCATCTACTTAAAGTCCTTTCTTCTCTTAAAAAGTTAGCCCATTATCTGATTCAGTTATATTTTCCATCTACGATTATGGATTACTATATTTTAAAAACAACTTTAGCTTTTTTTATAAAACTGGTATAAAACTGGTTTTGGTTTTTTGTTTTTTTTTTTTGAAGTGGTGTCTGTCACCTAGGCTGGAGTGCAATGGCACAATCTCAGCTAACTGCAACCTCCACGTCCTGGACTCAAGTGATTCTTGTGCCTCAGCCTCCTGAGTAGCCGGGACTACAGGCACACGCCGCCATGCCCAGTTAATTTTTTGTATTTTTAGTAGAGACGGGTTTTACCACGTTGGCCAGGCTGGTCTTGAACTCCTAACTTCAAGTAATCCATCTGCCTCATCCTCCCAAAGTGCTGGGATAGGCATGAGCCACCATGCCCGGCCCAGATCATTCCCCATCTCTTGTAATAAGGAAGGATAAGTTTCCTAAGCTGCACTGCTTGGAAAATATGTTTTCCCTGTTCATCTAGAATATAAGATCTCTCACTTTGACTACTAACAGTACTAAGAACTAGAAATTCTAAATGTATTGTAAGTATCGCATGAAGGAAAAGGAAGATGATGATAGCTGGCATTTCTCAGTTTTGGGGAGATATAAAGGATGCCTTGAGGATTTGGAACCTGGAAAAGGAGAGTTAGTGGATTTTTGGTGGCGAGGGGGTGGGATGTGTATGTGTGAATAATATTTTCAGATTGCTATATATTCACTGTTGATGCCAATAATAAACCAGATTTTTTTCCTTTCCAGGAACATCTAGTCTTCACAGTATGTTTATCATATCAGTACTCAGGATTGGAAGATACTGTAGAGGACAAGCAGGAAGTGAATGTTGGGAAACCTCTCATTGCTAAATTAGACATGCATCGAGGTTTGGGAAGGAAGACTTGCTTTCAAACTTGTCTTATGTCTAATGGTCCTTACCAGAGTTCTGCAGCCACCTCAGGAGGAGCAGGGCATTATCACTCATTGCAAGACCCATTCCATGGTGTTTACCATTCACATCCTGGTAATCCAAGTAACGTTACACCAGCAGATAGCTGTCATTGCAGCCGGACTCCAGACGCATTTATTTCAAGTTTCGCTCACCATTCTTCATGTCATTTTAGTCGAAGTAATGTGCCAGTAGAGACAACTGATGAAATACCGTTTAGTTTCTCTGACAGGCTCAGAATTTCTGAAAAATGACCGCCTTGTTTTTGAAAGTTAGCATAATTATAGATGCCTCCTGTGAGATAGTACTACACTTACATAAAGTGAAAAGGCAAATTTGTATATGTAGAGAAAGAATAGTAGTAACTGTTTCATAGCAAACTTCAGGACTTTGAGATGTTGGAATTACATTATTTAATCACAGACTTCCTCTTTCTAAGATTTTGTGAATTGGTTGATTAGTTCTGTACAAATGAAGTATGGAGGTGTGTATGTTTATATGTATATAACAAAATATTTTCATCGTGACCATCTGAAGTAAGAGCAATGGGAATGGCATTATTGCAGAATAAGTCATTGTATTTTTAACACCAGAAAGAACCTTGCTGATCACCAGGCATAACCTCATTTTATCAATGGAAGAAACACATAAAGGCATCTAAGTTAGAGCTGGCACCAGAACTGAGACCTCCAGAAATCTATTCCAGTATTTTTTCCACTACACACTGCCTTCCTGACAGGTTCTGAGCTAAGTGTTATTTTTGTAGATAGAGTGAAATATATTTATATGTATAAATATATAGAGATACATAGCTGTGTATTGTCTAAAGGAATGTACAGACTTTAGTTTTTGATAAGGACTTTGCTGCAAGTTTTAGTTAAGAGGTTTGTATATAAATCTGATGTAGAACAGGCTGAAATTTCTTGTTCATAAGATTATAAAACCGCATGAGAAGTGATCAAATGTTTGTTAAAGCTAGATAGAGGTTAAGAATCAAGATATAATGGATAATTTTCATAGCTGCCTATCTGAATTTTCCAAATATTTAGCATCTTCCTTGATAATACGTATTTTCTTCTTGAATTTCACTGGCCTTATGAGATAATATTCTTATCTTTGGTTCTACCTAAAAGTTGGTTAAAAATGCAATTGGCACTAACAAGGAAAAATACTGAATTAATAATTTTAAAAGTCTCACAAAGAAAATCACAGGCCTAGATGGCTTCACTGCTGAATTCTACCAAACATTAAAATTAGCACTAATTTTTTGCAAACTGTTTCTAAAAGTAGGAGAGAATAGAATACTTACCAATGTATTCTAGGAGGTATTACCCTGATACTAGACTAGATATCACAAGAAAACTATAAGCCAATATTCCTTATTAATACACAAAAATCATTAACAAAAATATTAGCAAACTGAATCCAGCAACGTATAAAAAGGATTCTACATCATGACCAAGTGGAATTTATCCCAGGAATTCAAGGTTGGTTCAACATCTAAAAATCAAATAAACTAATATACAGTCAGTTCTCATTATTGACAGTAATTATGTTCTACAAAATATTCTCCCACAAACACTGAATTAAATATGGAACAACTGCTTTTAGGAGAATGTGTTTGTGTATATGTATACATATGTTTATCTCATGCACATTATGAGCTTGAATTCTTAATTCATCCTAGAAAATTCTACTTTATTTTACAGAAGTGAAAGTGAGGTATCAAGTGTTAAGTGACATGCCCACTAACAGGTGTCAGAGCTGAAATTCAAACCCCATCCACCTGGCCCTGGAGCCAGAGCTTCTTGAACTACACTGAATTTCCCCTGCCATTTCCATCCCCCAGTCATTTCTCTATGAGGCTGAAACAGGAAGGCAGAGCATCATCATGTTCAGCCTCAGCTGGGACCATGTGTATTGGGTGACTCAAATTTTTCATCCATTTACACATATCCACAAATGACCGCAAAAGTGCCACAGATACCAATTTGAGGGTTATAAATTTTAGCAAGTTGGTAAATTCACAAATACATAATTGTGAATAATGAGGATCAACTGTACCATATGTAATAAAGCACAAAACCCACATAGATTGTCTTAATAGAGACAGAAATAGCATTTGATAAAATCCAAAACTTTTCATGATAAAAACACTCAACAAACTTAGGAATAAAAGGAATCTTCCTACACATGATAAATATAACATCTATGAAAAGCCCACATATGACATTATACTTCATGGTGATAGACCAAAGGCTGAATGTTTTCCTCTTAAGATTGGGAAGGACAAGGATGTTCACTCACACTACTTCTATTCAGCATTGTACTTGAAGTTCTAGCCAGAGCAGTTAGGTTAGGAATTCAAGGTTTGTTCAACATCTAAAAAATCAAATAAGCTAATAAAAGCCATTTATACTGCAAAAAAAGTGAAACTATATGTATTCACAGTTGATATATACTTGTATATAGAAAATGCTAAGGAATCCCTAAAAAGTAATGAGTTCAACAGGTTGCAGGATACAAGATCAAATATTATACAAAAATCAGTTTTAATTCTATACTAACAACAAACATTCTGAAAATGAGAATAAAGAAATCCTACATACAGTAGCATCAAGAATAAAACTACAACATATTGTTTAAAGAAATTAAGATCCAGATAAATGGGAAGACATCCATGTTCATGGATTAGAAGACTTAATATTGGTAAGATGGCAATGTTGCCCAAATTAGTCTACATATTCAACACAATTCCTATCAAAAACCTAGCTGTATTTTTTGCAGAAATTGACAAGCTGATGATAAAATTGATACGGAAATGCAGGGGACCCAGAATAGCCAAAAAATCTTGGAAAAGAACAAAGTTGGAAGACACTTTTACCAATTTCAAAATGTGCTGTGAAGCTACAATAAGATAGTGTAGGCATATAGATAGACATATTGATCAGAGGAATGGAACTGAACATCTAGAAATAAACCCATACATTTCTGATCAACTTATTTTCAACAAGGATGCTAATACCATTCAATAGGGAAGGAGTGGTCTTTTCAACAGACGGTGCTGGGACAACTGATAGCTACATGCCCAGCAAAAGGATCCCTACTTCCTACCACATTACAAATTCTAACTCAAAATGGATCATAGACCTAAATATAAGAGTTTAAACTCTTAGAAGAAAACAGAAGTAAATCTTTGTGGTGTTGGGCTTAGGAATGGTTTCTTAGATACAACACCAAAAGCACAAGCAACAAAGGAAAACAATACATAAATGGAACTTCATCAAAATTAACTTGTCTTAAAGGACACCATTAAGAAAGTGAAAACCCTCAGAATGGGAGAAAAAAAATTTGAAAAATCATGTATGTAATAATTAAAAAAAAAAAATACATGCAGGTGCCCAGCTGTGGTTACCACAGAGCAGCACTGTCCCAGTGAACTTGCTGTGATGATAGGATGCTTGGTGTCCGCACTCCCAGTGTGATAGCTTTTAGCCTCATGGGGTTGTTGAGCAATTGAAATAATAGCTAGTGTGAGGAATTGAATTTAAAATTTTAGTTTTAGGCCAGGTGTGGTGGCTCACACCTATAATCTCAGTACGTTGGGAGGCCAAGGTAGGTGGCTCTCTTGAGCCCAGGAGTTTGAGACCAGCTTGGCCAAGATGGCAAAACCCTGTCTCTACTAAAAATACAAAAAAAAAATTAGCTGGGCATGGTGGCACACGCCTGTAATCCCAGCTACTAGGGAGGCTGAGGCAGGAGAATTGCGCTTCCCCTTTATACTGTGTGTGTGTGTATATATATATGTATATATTTTTTTTTAAAGACAGAGTCTTGCTCTGTTGCCCAGGCTGAAGTGCAGTGTGACATAGTCTCGGCTCACTGTAGCCTCCACGGGGGCTGAGACAGGAGAATCGCATGAATTTTTTTAAAAATTCTAAACATGTATTTGTAATTTTAAAACTGACTAAAAAAAGAATGATACAGTTTTGGTCTTTTTTTTTATCAACCATGTTTTTATTTTACTTGAATCTCTCGTGGCAGTTGCTTTGTAATATTGAAGTAGGATTTACACAAGTGGAATTTAGAAAAGATTATCTATCAAATCTATCAATACCAATTAGAATGTAATAAAGAAATTAGGATAGTGGAGGTTTGAGCAATTCAAGGCTCACCCAAATTCAAAGCCAGTACTTGATGCTGATGGGATATTTTCTGGAAGGTAATTTTTAAAAATTAAAGTCACAATTATAAATTATATATTTTCTAATAAAAGAAATCTCAACTCATGGGATAATTTGAATATAAAACACTGGATTGTTCCTCATTCAGAGATGAACAAGTCAACACATTTCAGAAAAGAAAGTCTTTAAAGAAGAATCCTGGCACAGAAAAGGTCCATTTAGACATTTCCTTCTTCCTGCGTCTCTAATACCTCTTACTTTTCAAATCTCTGACTTGCACATGAAGTAACAGTGAGAGGGCCTGTTCAGTAATCGCAATTTTTTGACTTGTCAAATTCAAGAAATTCAATTATGTAGCCAAAGCTTAGATCATTGACATGTATATTGGCATAAGCTTTTTTAGTTTGCTTTTAATTTTATTAGAAGTGGGGTCTCAATTTTGTTGCCCATTCTGGTCTCAAACACCCGTCCTTCAAGTGATCCTGCTGCCTCAGCAGCATCAGTTTAATATCTGGATAAAATCTGATGTATGTAATTTTACTTTTAAAGGGTTTTTTTTCCTAACAGACATCCTAACAAAGTTGTTTCCTATTCCTTGAACATTCACCTGATACTTATATACTGTCATTACTTTAACTGTCAACTGATGTCAGCTACTCAGTTTACACACTACTTTTGTGCATTCCATCCTGTTTCTCAGTTTGACATTCACATTCAAATTCAGAGTTTGACACTGAAACCCTGGGCATGGTGGCTCACACCTCTAATCCCAGCACTTTGGGAGGCTTCAGTAAGCAGATGATTTGAACCCAGGAGTTCGAGACTAGCCTGGGCAACATGGTGAAACCCCATCTCTACCAAAAAAAAAGAAAAAACAAAAATTAACTGGTCAGAGTTGCACACACCTGTTAGTCCCAGTGACTCAGGAGGCTGAAGTGGGAAGATCGCCCGAGCCCAGAAGGCAGAGGTTACGGTGAGTGGAGATTGTGCCACTGCACTCCAGCCCCGACAACAGAGCAAGACACTATCTCAAAAATAAAATATTAGTAAAGAAGAGTACACTCAGTGTGAAAACATGTAAGTGTCCATGTTCTCTCTTTTCTAATTTGGTAGCATTAAAAATACTGAGCATCAAAGTTTGGCTTTATGATGGAGGAGTCATCTGAGACACCTCAGGTTTCAGCCCTTACTAATAGCGTGGCTCAAAGTGTGTTACTTGCCTGTGCTTCTGTTTTCTTATCTGTAAAATG